CAAATCAACAAAAAATTCCAAGGGGGGGGGGGGGAATCAAATGCTTTTGACCTCATTGAGGATATATTTTCCTATGCACATCACCGTGGCTCAAATATTTCCTACAACTACCCTCATTCATAGTGACAGGGAAAGATCTCCCAAACAAGGAGGTTGGGGGAGGGACTGTTTCAGCCACAATGCTAGAAATCAAGAATTAATTACAGTTATCACATTTACCTTTCCTGTAGGTAGTATATGTTGAGCTTTGTTGCTGGAGCTGTCAATCATTGGAGCTCCACTCCAAGAGGAACCCACAATCCACCAACGGCCAACCTGACCAGCACTGAGGAGAGATTCCAATGACACACGAAGCTGAGCCTCTTTCCCAGAACCACTGTTATGAATCTTATGGGGGGGAAAGTGTTTTCAGGTAAAAGAATTTCAGAACCTTGATACTGATTAACATGATTAGAACCCCTGCTAAATGTAAGTGGCCTACATTCTGGTTTATTTGAACCCAGGTGCCCTTGGGGACATTTTTTTGGGCAAACAGGGCAAGCCCAGATGCCGATTCTCCAGCCTCCAAACCAAACCCTCTTTTTACCATTCCTCATTAGCAACTCTTAAGGTCCAGGAGAGTAACAGCAATTTTATTCAGTGTTAAATGAAAACTCAAACTTTGGTCCGAATGAGTAATTCAGGATGATGGGCGGCAAGGCACCCCCCCCCCCTACCAATGTTCTCTGCAACTTCCGTAGTTTCTCAACCGGCTCAGGATCATAACCAGGGATTTTCCTCATGTCATTATTTTTCAGTGCCAGCATGGTCTCCAGCATAAAGCAAACCTTTTAAGACAAATAAATCTGCATTATTGCTCAAGTAACCTAAAATGGCAAGGATCTCCAGCATAAAAATGAAACCTGAACCAGAGCCAAAGTGTTATTTGCTCTGATATTAAAATCTGCCAAACAAAACCAGCCTTTGACTGATTTATAAAGCATCTTGTTCCTTTTTTCAAACATATTTTAAAAACTCCCGTATTTGACAGCATTTCCAGGGAATGCTTTTCAGGTGAAAACGACCATTAAGGAACATCTCCCCCCTCTTCCATTTCATGAAGAAATATACAAAAGAAAAAGCCAGATGCTTTCAAGGTAGACCTCCATTCACATATTTGTTCAGGTACAATATGCCTCTGTGCCAAACCAAGAGATAGTGTAACATGTGACTTAAAGTTCTATGAACAAAAAATCTTGAGTTCAAAGACTGCCTCTGAAATTAACTTTCTAGGAACCCTTAGGCAGACCACGTCCTGTTACAGACTCCCCCTCCTGCAATACAAGAACACTGATTTTCTAGGATTATAATATAACAATGTAAGAATCAGTATCAAAGAGGTATTATTTTGATCTGTACTGAACTGCACACTTCCATTCACCTGATCCTTGGAAAAAGTAATGCATGGTGCCCACGCATGGTCTGTATTGTGGAAAAGGCCAGGAGCTAAAGCCACGTGTGGTTCCCACACCATCTTACTGTACCAGTTTATACAGGAGCATCCTATTGCATTTCAGTCCATTTTGTCAGATGCATATAGTGGGTCCTCACTAGCCAGACATATGCATGTGAAGTAATGAAAAAAGAGCTGAGCGGCAGGGCCAAAGAGTCATGAAATGCAAGAACTAAAGGGTGAGATATAATTATGTAAAATTCAAATGTAACCCAGACAAGTATAGAGACCATTCCTAATACCAGTAATTGACAAACATCATCATCATAATTGTATGTTGTCAGGTGACAACAGACTCATGGCAACCTTAGCACCATGGGGTTTTCAAGGCAAGAGATGAGCAGCAGTGCTGAGCAACCCAGGACTTCCTTAGTGGTTTCCCATCCTAGTACTAACCATGGCTGACCCTGCTTAGCTGCCAAGCTCTGAGGAGATTTGAGCTAGTCAGGGCTATTCAGGCTGTGAATGCAAACATCATACATTAATGTAAGTTGCACAGGAAGACACACAGATGTGGAGAAGCTCCTGCTAAGTTTGGCTTCAGATAAAAAAAAGAGTTGTCTGAAAAAGTATCTTAAAGATGCACTCATACCCTTGACTGGTCCTGAAACTGCTTCCCTACAGCGTTTGCTTTTTTCTGGGTCTCAGTAATAAGCTCTTTCAGTGCCAGAGCATCATCTTTCCTCAAGGAAAATCCCACATTTTTCAGCAGCAGCAGAATTAGCTCAATATCCTGTTCAGAAAAAGTGCTAACAAGCTTTTTTAAGATGTCAAAGATCAGCAGTGAGTGCACGACGTAAAAATTATATAAATGAGCAATTAAGGTAAGCAGGTTTTCACATTCTTTCCCTTCAAGCTTGCCTCTGTAGACGTCGTCGAATTTCCTCACCACTGTTTCCAAAAAGTGAGCGCCAACCTGGAATGGTTAAACACACATACATGTGACAAATGAACAGCTGGCCACTTAGCCTGTTAAAAAATAAAATCATTTATAACTAATGTTGTGGTCCTAAAATTAGCTACCTGGCAATTTAAGGGTACAGAGCACAGTAGACGATGGCTGATCTTGCATTTTATCACCAAGCTTTTCATTGCCAGAGCACAGACACTCCTTCGGTCAACTGAGCCTATCTGCCCTTGGCCCTGAATGTCTCAGTTTCAAACTCTCATAAGCAACAAGTGCTTTTCTGAACACAACAAATGTAGCTTTTAAAAAGTATTTTACATGCATTTATACCTATGAATCATAATAACCCACTTAAGTGTCACTCATAGCGGCAATCATGGACACAGAACACACAGCCCTTTAAAATGGAGCAACAATGGTAGAAAGCAGCCACTGTAATCACATAGAGAGCAAAAGAATAATAATCACATGCTATGTTCTCCATAAGGAAGTAAGAAGTAAGTTCAAAATAGGCGAATGGGGTCTGAACTTGCTGAGACTGAGAGGGAAAAAGATCTTGGGGTCGTAGTGGATGGCTCAATGAAAGTGTCAACCCCAGTGTGCTGCAGTGGTGAAAAAGGCAAACTAGATGTTAGGGATTATTAGGAAAGGGATCGAGAATAAAACAGCTGATATTATAACACCTTGTATAGATCTATGGTGCAGCCTCATTTGGAATACTCTGTACAGTTCTGGTCACCATATCTGAAAAAAGACAATGCAGAAAAAGTACCGAGGAGGGCAACCAAGATGATTAAGGGGCTGGGGCACCTTCCCTGTGAGGAAAGGCTGAAGAGTTCTGGGACTTTTCAGTTTAGAAAAGTGATGACTAAGGGGGGAAATGATCGAGGTTTATAAAATTATGCAGGGGGTGAAAAGAGTTGCCAAAAATAATTCCACCCCCTCTCCCCAAATACTAGAATTTGAGGATATCCAATGAAGCTAATGGGCAGGAGTTTCAAGACAGACAAAAGGAAATACTACTTTATACAGAGAGTGATTAAAATGTGGAATTCGCTGTCAGAGGATGTAGTGATGGCCACAGGAATAAACAGCTTTAAAAGGAGATTAGATAGATTCATGGAGGATAAGTCTATCAATGGCTACTAGCTATGGTGACTGAGGGGAACCTCCATGTTCAGAGGCATTAAACCTCTGGATCCCAGAGCCAGGAGGTAATATCAGGGGAAGGGCGCCTGGGGAAGCCAAGGGAAGGCTGTTTAGATCTGGTTGGCCACTGTGTGACAGGATGTTGGACTAGATGGACCACTGGTCTAATCCAGTAGGGCTCCTCTTAATCCTAAAGATAGACACGTACACTTGTTTCTGAGATTCGTACACTGAATGAGGTACAGTGAACGAGAAACTCTTGCATTGCTTTTTTGGACAATTTTGTAGGGGCATTAAAAAACAGACAAAATCTGGAATGCCCCTTTGTTTAGAAGGAACAACATCCACATCTCATTTCAAAAACAGTTTAGAGGTGACAATCCTGCTCCTAAAAATCAGAGGAGATTGGATTTATACCCCACCCTTGTATGTAACTAAGAGATATCAGGTTAAAACAGAAGAAGACTGTAATGGGGACTACAGGAAAGGCAATAGGATGAAGTGGTTTTCCTCTAACATCACGCAAAAATACCCAAAGGTTCCATGTACTTGTTTTCTAAAATAACTATTTTATTTACGTATTTATGCTGCCATTCAGCTAGACAGAACCCCCAAATGACTGAGGGGAACCTCCATATTCAAAGGCGCCAAACCTCTGAATCCCAGAGCCAGTAGGCAACATCAGGGGAAGGTCTCAGCCTCTATGGCCTGTTGTTGGCCCTCCAGAGGAATTGGTTGGCCACTGTGTGAGACAGGATGCTGGGCTAGATGGACCCTCAGTTCTGGCTGACTTCAGAGTTGGCCACACCCACTACAGCAAAACCTCTGTGCATGTGTGGCTATAGAGGGAAGAAGAGATGGGATTTATACCCCGCCCTTCACTACCCAAAGGTGTCTCAGAGCGGCTTACAAACTCCTTTCCCTCCCCACAACAGACACCCTGTGAGGTAGGTGGGGCTGAGAGAGCTCTTGACAGAAACTACTCTTTTTTCAAGAACAGCTCTTATCTGGAGGGCAACTCTGAGGCGGGCAGGCCAGGGGGGGGCCTGGAAGGATCAGGGAGGCATTTAAATGCCTCCCCGTGCCTTACCCAGCCTGTCCAAGGATCAGCTTGCCCAGGCTCCCCGCAGCTGCAGGGCGCCTGGGGAAGTCAAGGGAAGGCTGTTTAAACTGCCTCCCCTCCCCTCCAAGGGCCGGCTTGCTGGGGCTCCCCACAGCCGTGGGGCACCCAGGCAAGCCAAGGGAAGGCCTAATATGCTAATGAGCTGCACTGTCAGGGGGGTGGCCTAATGTGCTAATGAGTTCCTGCTGTTGGGTGTGGCCTGTTATGCTAATGAGTTCCTGCTGGGCTTTTTCTGGTTGTCAGAGATTCTAATTAAGAGGTATCAGATAATGGGAACTACAGGAAAGAAAATAGGATGAAGTGGTTTTCCTCTAACATCACGCAAAAATACCCAAAGGTTCCATGTACTTGTTTTCTAAAATAACTAATTTTATTTATGTATTTATGCTGCCATTCAGCTAGACAGAACCCCCAAATGACTGAGGGGAACCTCCATATTCAAAGGCGCCAAACCTCTGAATCCCAGAGCCAGTAGGCAACATCAGGGGAAGGTCTCAGCCTCTATGGCCTCTTGTTAGCCCTCCAGAGGAATTGGTTGGCCACTGTGTGAGACAGAATGCTGGGCTAGATGGACCACTGGTCTGAGCCAGTGGGGCTCTTCTAATGTTCGTAAATGCTTATAAAAGGAAAAGAACACATTATCCATAAATTATTAGTTAACTGACATCCATGATAACACATATTCCAACTGAAATACAAAGCTGAGATCCAGGAAAGAAAGATTACCTCAATCCCCACAGTATTATGAAGGATGCTAACTAAGAGGACATGCTCCATCATCAGTCTGGGGGGCATCACTGAGGCTGTGACACAAGCACTCGTGAGAATATCGGTCAGGGCCTCATTCATGTCTTTTCGACTGTTTGCCATGTACAGTTCCTCCAGCTGCCCACTTATGGAAGACAGGTTAGGTTCACTCAACCTAATAGGAATCAAGCCATAGAGAAAACAAGGCTTAACATTTGTTCCATTCTTCCACTTCATCATTCCCATTGTTAAATCATGTTAAAACATCAGTTCTGTTTTAAAGAATATTTTTAGAAAAGGTATTTGGGAACACATCTGGCTCTTCTGTTTTAATTCAAAGATACACTAACATTCAACTCTGGCCTCCTTAAGGCAAGCAACAGATGCCTATAAAACTCACAATGAATACCAAGATTTTAATTCCAAACTTAGGATGGTTCTATCAATATCAACAGAACTGTTTCCAGAGGAGGTTAAAAGCGCACTCTGAAGATTTCAGACCCAGATGTAAAGTTACCAAATTTAGTTTAGCAGAAACAAAGTTTAGCATATGTTTTAATCTTCCAATTAATCATTATCACTGAACCTGGCTTCTATGAACCACATTTCATGCCAGGTCTAGTATGTGATCACAACCTAAATCCCGGGACAACTAAAAACCAAACAAAAATCTTCAGGAGGCACAAAATACAATGCAGCAGTGGAAACCAGAAGTCTAACTCATGTTTCTTGGCAGAACAATATGCTTTCTAGAAGGACAGATTGCTAAGCACGCTTCAAAACTACCTGTTAACGAGCCCTTTCAATGTTTTCTTCAGTCTTTCTAGTTCTTCTCTCTTTTTTGCATCCTCCGTCTCTTCAGACCTTCGCATCTGAGGAGGAACATACTTCGTAGCAGCATGGCAAATCCCCTAAACAGAAAAAGAACAGCAAGCAAAAAAATTATCAAATACCATTACATTTTAAAATGTTGTTTAAGTATTCAGAGATTATTCTGCACAGCCTGCATTTTCATGCATATTTTGCATTACTTATTTTGACAAGCCTTTATTGGCATACGTATATACATACAATAGGAGATCAGATTAAATATAAATATTTTGCATTAGTGGACATATGATGTATACCCACAAACGTCCATTCCAAACAGTTAAACTGTGGGTATCAAACATTGAGTAAAATGGGATATATCGTTGGCCATTATAAAACTCTGATCCCTTGTAAACAGTTCTAGAAGTTGCCCATTTTAAAACTAAACTCAATGTAAAAGGGCTCTTTCATATACTCACTCTTTTAAGCACATTCAAAAATACATTAAAAAGTGAATGGGACTAAACATGTATATCAGGCAGATATGCTGTTGCTTCTTAACCGGTGGCAACCTGGTCTTTGCTGTTGCATGAGGAACCAGGCCCCTGAACCCTTTAGCTCACTACTGTCTGCTCTGAGAGACGGCCTGATAAACTGGAAATGCCAGGGATTAAACCAGCACATGTTCTAATCTATGAGTCCCCTTAACAGCCCTTATTTGTTGATAGCTGTGTTTGGCCCCTCAGAATAAAACACAATGGTGTGTATCCAGACATCAGTGAAGCAGGACTTTGTCATTCACTCCTAGTGCCACAGCCTATACCCCCCCAATGTTGTTCGTAGTAGTACAAACCCTCAGGATCACCGCACGGTGAAAAGTGAGGGTCAGGAAGGACCAATCAACAGCACGGTGAAAAGTGAGGGTCAGGAAGGACCAATCAACAGAAGTCTACAAATAGAAACGGAATTCCATTGGAGGAACTGCTTTTTCCGATCCATGCCAGCAAATTGTATTTATTTATGTTTAAGTTGATATCCCACACCTCCCCGCCATAGCAGGCTCAGGGTGGCTAACAACATATTTATACACGAAAAGTTCATGAAAAGTTCAATGCTATCAAGACCAGTATTGTCTACTTTCATGGGCAGTGCCCGTCCAGGGCACAGGGCTTCCACCTCACTTGCTACCTGGTCCTTTTAACTGGAAATGCTGTGAATTGAACCTGGGCCCTTTTGCATGACAAACAGAGGTGCTACCCCTGAGCCATGGCCCTTCCCAACCAGCACAAAACATTACATTTCCAGTGAGTTTTTGGGGTACTGTAGAGCCTTTTCACCCAGGCCGGAAAAAATTCTTCCAACCGGAGGATCCTTCCTCCAACTGAAGCAGCTCTACAATATGAAGAAGAGCTACTTAAGATGAAGGAAGCCTTCGAACTTTGCTTGGTGGAGCGGCAGCGTTGTCAACTCTGTTTTGGGGAATTCCTGGAGAAGCCATGGCCCTTCCCCACCAGCACAAAACATTAAACATTTCCAGTGAGTTTTTGAGGTACTGTAGAGCCTTTTCACCCAGGCCAGAAAAAATTCTTCCAACCTGAGGATCCTTCCTCCAACTGAAGCAGCTCTTCATTATGAAGAAGAGCTACTTAAGCTGAAGGAAGCCTTCGAACTTTGCTTGGTGGAGCGGCAGCGTTGTCAACTCTGTTTTGGGGAATTCCTGGAGATTTAAGGATGGTGCCCGGGGAGGGATTTAAGTTTCTTCTAGACACTATAGTATATCATAGAGTCCACACTCCAAAGTTGCAATTTTCTGCAGGGGAAGCGACCTCTGTAACGAGGAGATCAGTTCTAATTCTGGGAGAACTCCAGGCCTCAGCTGGAGGTCAGTAACCCTGTGGAATGAATTCAGAGTCCAGTAGCACTTTTAAGGCCAGCAAACTTTTATTCAAGGTCTTAGAGGTGCCACTGGACTCTAAATTTGTTCTCCTGCTTCAGACCAACAGGGCTGACCACCTGGACCTACGGAATGGTACGAGGCAGGTCATTAAGTTCAGTCTCGACCAATGTTCCCTCTAAGCCGTGGAGTCTTGTGAGAAGTTCAGTCTCGACACAGAGTTCACAATTCCAAAAGGCACCCTCATGAATCTCCAATCTGAGGCTGGGCCTATGAGACGAGTTGTGTCGTCCAGCTGCCTTTGGCCCCCTTTCCACAGACCTCCTTTTCCTTTTCCTCTCTGGGCGACGCGGGCCCCGCTGCTCCCGGCTCAGGGCTTCCGGAGGAGCCGTGAGGGGCCTCCCCTTCTCCTTCCTCCGCCTCGCCTCCTCCTTCCACATCGGATTCTTCTGAACTCCCCGACTCTTCCTCGGCAGCCGACACATCTTCCTCCCCGGACTCTCCCTCCAGCCCCTCCTCGCCCTCTCCCCCGCTGCTCTCGTCCAGGCCGGAGAAGGCGGCCCCCGAGCCCAGAGCTCCCAGCACGTAGCCCAACCCGTCGCGGGAGAAGCTCTGCGGCAGGCCTGCCTCCCCGTCCCCGGCCTGCTTCTTCCGACGCTTGTTCAGGCCCAGCTGCCTCTCCAGCCGCCGGATCTCCCGCTCCTCCGCCTCATTGGCCGCCAGAAGGGCCCGCTTGCGCGACAAAGACGTCGCCGAGGGGCCCGGCCTGGGCCGCCCTTTCTCCGCGGGGGGACCCTTCTCCGGCTCCGGGGCCTGCGGATGCGGCGCCTCCTTCTTCTTCTTCGGCGGCGGCTGCTTCTTGCCCGAGGCTGGCGAAGCTGGGCCAGGCGGCGGATAATTTCGCCCCTCAGCTACCTCCTTGCCGCTAAGGAGAAGGCGGCGGCGGCCTCGCTTCAATTTGCGCTTCTCCCGCTTCAGCTCCCGCCGGTTCCGTCGGCCGCTCCATTTCGGCTGCTGCAGCGGGGCCCCGGAGAGCCCGGGACCGCCCAACACACCGGGGCCCCCCGCCGCCGCCGCCTCCACGAATTCTCGCACCGCCAGCCCTAGCTTCTGTAGCTGCCCGGCCTGCTTCTGATTCTTCCCTCGTCTCTTTGCTCGGGCCAGGCCTTTGACAGGCGCTGAGGAGAGGGGGGCCGCCTGCCTCATGGCGTCGTCGCCGCGCACCGGGCCCCTCTCCTCAGGCGCGGCGGTTCATGGGCGCCGCCATCTTGAAGAGGCCTCCGGGCGAGGATGCGGTTTCGCACGCGGTCTAGTGAGACGAGGGGGAGGCAGCGCCATCTTCAGGCCACTAGGCACATTATAGCTAAGACGGGGAAAGTGTTGGGACTCGGCGCCTTTAAAATATTTGTTGTTGTTCAGTCGCACAGTCGAGTCCGACTCTTCGCGACCCCATGGACAATCTCCCACCCCATGGACCAGCTCCCTCCAGGCCTTCCGGTCTTCCGCCATCCTCTGAAGTTTGCTCAACTTCATGTTCGTTGCATCGATGACACTGTCTAACCATCTCATCCTTTGCCGTCCCCGTCTTCTTTGACCTTCAATCTTTCCCAGCATCAGGGTCTTCTCCAGTGAGTGCTCCCTTCTCATTTGGTGGCCAAAGTATTTGAGCTTCAGTTTCATTATCTGGCCTTCCAGGGAACAGTCAGGGTTGATTTCTTTGAGGATTGACTGATTTGTTCTTCTTGCAGTCCAAGGGACTCTCAAGAGTCTTCTCCAGCACCATAGTTCAAAAGAATCTATTCTTCTGCGCTCGGCCTTCCTTATAGTCCAACTCTCGCAGCCATACATGACTACTGGGAATACCATTGCTTTGACCATGCGGACTTTTGTTGGCAGGGTGATGTCTCTACTTTTTATCATGCTGTTTAGGTTCGCCATCGCTTTCCTCCCAAGGAGCAGGCGTCTTTTAATTTCATGGCTGCAGTCACAGTCTGTGGTGATCTGGGATCCCAGGAACGTGAAGTCTGTCACTACTTCCACGACTTCCCCTTCTATTTGCCAAGGAGTGATGGGGCCGGATGCCATGATCTTAGTTTTTTTGATGTTGAGCTTCAAGCCCACTTTTGCGCTCTCCTCTTTTACCCTGAGCAAGAGGCTCTTGAGGTCCTCTTCACTTTCTGCCATCAGAGTGGTATCGTCTGCATATCTGAGGTTGTTGATCTTTTCCCCAGCAATCTTAATTCCCGCTTGTGATTCATCCAGGCCAGCATTTCGCATGATGTACTCTGCATATATATTAAATAAGCAAGGCGACAATATACATCCTTGTCGTACTCCTTTTCCTATGCTGAACCAATCAGTTGTTCCATATCCGGTTCTAACTGTCGCTTCTTGGCCCTTATACAGGTTTCTCAAGAGACATGTGAGGTGGTCTGGTACTCCCATCTCTTTAAGGACCTGCCATAGTTTGTTGTGATCCACACAGTCAAAAGCTTTAGCATAGTCAATGAAGCAGAAGTAGATATTTTTCTGGTACTCTCTTGCTTTCTCCATAATCCAGCGAATGTTGGAAATTTGATCTCTAGTTCCTCTACCTCTTCGAAACCCAGCTTGTACTTCTGGTAGTTCTCTATCCACGTACTGTTGAAGCCTAGCTTGTAGGATCTTGAGCATGACCTTGCTAGCGTGTGATATGAGTGCAATTGTGCGATAGTTTGAACATTCCTTGGCATTGCCCTTCTTTGGGATTGGAATGTATACTGATCTTTTCCAATCCTGTGGCCACTGTTGCGTTTTCCAAATTTGCTGGCAAATGGAGTGCAGAACTTTAACAGCATCATCTTCTAAGACTTTGAATAGCTCAGCTGGAATACCATCACCTCCACTAGCTTTGTTGTTAGTAATGCTTTCTAAGGCCCATTTAACTTCACATTCCAGGATGTCTGGCTCGAGGTCAGTGATTATACCGTCGTGGTTGTCAAGGACATCGAGGTCTTTCTTGTATAGTTCTTCTGTGTATTCTTGCCATCTTTTCCTAATCTCTTCTGCTTCTGTTAGGTCCCTACCGTTTTTGTCCTTTATCATGGCCAGCTTTGCATGGAACGCTCCCTTGATTTCTCCAACTTTCTTGAAGAGATCTCTAGTCCTTCCCATTCTATTGTTTTCTTCTATTACTTTGCACTGTTCATTCAGGAGACGCCAATGTTGGATCAGGCCAATGGCCCATCCAGTCCAACACTCTGTCACACAGTGGCCAAAAACGCCAGGTGCCATCAGGAGGTCCAGCAGTGGGGCCAGGACATTAGATGCCCTCCCACTGTTGACCCCCCCAAGCACCAAGATGACAGAGCATCACTTGCCCCAGAGCCCCTATCTATACCTTGTGGCTAATAGCCATTGATGGACCTCTGCTCCATATGCTTATCTAATTCCCTTTTGAAGCCGTCCATGCTTGTAGCTGCCGCCACTTCCTGTGGCAGTGAATTCCATGTGTTAATCACTCCTTGGGTGAAGAAGTACTTTTATCCGTTCTAACCCAACCGCTCAGCAATTTCATGGAGTGCCCACGAGTTCTTGTATTGTGAGAAAGGGAGAAAAGTACCTCTTTCTCTACCTGCTCTATCCCATGCATAATCTTATAAACCTCAATCATGTCACCCATCAGTCGTCGTTTCTCCCAGCTAAAGAGCCCTAAGCGCTTTAACCTTTCCTCATAGGGAAAGTGTTCCAACCCTTTTATCATTCAAGTTGCCCTTTTCTGCCTTTTTTCTAAAGCTATAATGCAACGAAGTGGTAATGAGAATAACAGTGCATTCTTAAACTGAGCCCTTCTAAGTCCTTTGGCTTCAGTGAACTTTAGAACTGAACTCCAGGGTAGCTAAGACCCAATTTGATGTAATAAATTTGGTTAACATTTATCCAGTTACCCTGTCTCTCTAACTATTGAAGGTGTGCATTGTCTCCATTTACAAACTCTGTCTATATTGCTATATCATTCTTTCCTCTTAGGAAGCCCATATGGTTCATTGCAAAGGTCCAATATGCCTTTTGAGAACCTGGTCCTAAGCATTTGCTGCTTCCTGCTAAGGTCTTCCTAAGCAAAAGTGATCAATGAAAACAGAAGCGATCAGAAGTGTATGAGAATACATTGATGGTAGGCAGCAATCAGTACTTCCTCTAAACATGTGCACACATGATATTGCTATTGCCTTATACTGAGCTAGACCATTGGCCTATCAATGTCAATATTGTCTACTCTGACTGGCATCTGACCAAGTGAACTCATGAAAGGTGATAACCCTGGAAAAAATTGTTGGGACTCCAATTTTGTTCTAACTGGGACTGATTCTCAAGGATCTTGGGTGAGATCTTCTACATTTCCTATTGTTAGCCAAATTGCCTTATTTATTTATTAAGCTTGGGGGAATTACAATTTAATAATGGCAGTTGGCACATAGACTAAGGATATAACCTGTGTATACCAGAGTTAGTATTCCCAGAGCCCATGAAGAGATGAGGAGACCAGGTTGCTGAAATAATTGGTCTTTTACTTAAAGTTCTCAAGCATACAATAATAATTGCAAACACACACACACACAATACAGAACTAAGAAATTAGGCATGAAAAGACAGCGACATGGAATCAACACATGGAATTCACTGCCACAGGAGGTGGTGGTGTCTACAAGCATGGATGGCTTCAAGAGGGAATTAGATAAACATATGGAGCAGAGGTCCATCAGTGGCTATTAGCCACAAGGTATAGATAGGAACTCTTGGTCTGGGGCAAGTGATGCACTGTATTCTTGGTGCTTGGCAGGGGCAACAGTGGGAGGGCTTCTAGTGTCCTGGCCCCACTGCTGGACCTGCTGATGGCACCTGATATTTTTGGCCACTGTGTGACAGAGTGTTGGACTGGATGGGCCATTGGCCTGATCCAACATTGGCTTTTCTTATGTTCTTAGGTGTTATCATTGGCGGGTTATATGTTACCTGTCCGGTGAGATGAGTAGACTGTGTAGTGAAAAAAACACAATGAGAGAGGGAATGGATCATGAGTCGACCAGCGACACATGTGGAATGATTCCAAACTGATCAGGAATGGAACCAGCAAGATAGGTAGGGGCAAAGAGAGAGAGAGAGCTCAGGGAGAGCTCAACTTAAGTAGCCAAATTGTGATCTGCAGACAAAAGAATACTATCTCAGGATGGGTAAGACAAAGGACATAGCCATTGGACAATTTAGGGATGATGTGTGGCAGGGAGTGACACCTCTTGGGGAATGTGTGAGACAAGGGAAGGAGGGTGATAGTCCGGTGCTTCACTTTAAGGATCCAGTGCTTGTCAGAGGCATTATCTGGATTGGTGGTAGGAAGGCTTAATCACTTCTTTTGTTTCTAGCTGGGCAACAGTCTTTGTTTGAGAATGACCCAGGAGGGGGGGAGAGGAATGTGCTGCGTGATGGAGAGGAGGCTTCTTCATGGCTTCTCTGTCAGAACATGGCTTCTCTCTCTGATCTGCTACTGTCTCTGTGTTCATGGAGGCCAGGGCGGTTGGTCTGCATCACAGTCCCTGTGCAGATGCAGAGGTGCAGGGGTAGAAGGCTTGTGTAGTCTCTGATCCCTATCTGGCTTGGCATACTTCTTTGGCACAAGGCTTCCCTTGGCCACAGTGTACAGTCCATAGTCCAGCAGTGGGCACTTCACTTAGGACCACAGCTCTGTTCATTGCCCTGGCACACACTCTTCACAGTCCAGTATGGCAGTGATCGTAAAAGAGCCTTTAATAGTGCCATCTGAAATGGCTTAA